TGGGCGTGGCTTTGTTCTGACGTGTTTTGTGTGAACTGTCTCTCAATAAAAGGCAGCAGAAGGAGGTCATATCTGGAGGTCATTTTCGTGGTGAACAGACGAGGCCTCCATTGCGCAAATAATCGATCGATCGACTGTCTTGTTTTCTTCATGATGAATAAGTCTCTATAATTAGCGGGGCTTGTGGAAACACGGACCCAACAGAGTCATACACCGTCTTGTTATCTGGGAGAATTTGTTGTTCCAGCTTTGGCCCTGGAGCTTCCAGCTGGTTAGAGGAGGCCACATAAAGATAGTGGTTGTTCGGGTTTGGTTTCTGCATTCCAGTTCCATCATTGGTCCACAGATCTATCAATTTCCCGTTGTGGAGTCGCGAGCTTCTCTATGATTTTATCCATATTGCATTCAATAAACACTGTCTGAGTACTTGTGGCTCTACCCACGGCATCAATCCAGCCGGCCTTATGGGATTTTGAGGAGCTGTAACCGTTTCCATTAGTCGTCAGTAAACCAGGGCCGTGCCAGCTCCAATCAGCAAGAACCCCGTTATCATGGTTCTGAATAGGTAGATGTCTTCAACGCCCTCCATTCAGCCTCCCCCAAGCCCAGGCTTCTCATTGAGAAGAGGATGTCAATTGCATCAAGAGACCAATTGATCAAATCTGTAATTTCTTGGTTAGAGAACAAGACAGAGAGAGTCTCTGAGAGTTAGACAAGACTAGACAAGGACAAGAGAAGCCAAGCAGGAAAGATGAGGGAGAAAGACGCGACTACCTCTGCCAAGAGCCAAACGACCCAGGTTAACATGTTTAATATGATGTCATTTTCAAAAGAATTGATTGGTCAGTAATGATTTCATACTTAATCTCTTGTTGATCCCTTATCCTAAAAATGACCTGCCCCCGAGCAGGTAAGTTTTGTGCATATGATGCCATATTGATATTCCTTGTTTAAACACAAACCATTATCATAGTACTGAAAACTCCAGGCTAATCCTGAAGTTGCCTGGAGAAGTCCAAATCCAGTACAAACTGGAGTGATTTATAGAGGAAACTGTAGGAAACTAGTGTGTGTTTTGTTTTGATCACAAAACATTAGTTGTGATTAGCTGAAGGAAGGAAGTTCAGGGCGTTCACTCAGTGTTCATTGTGTGAAAAATGTCTTTAGCTGGTGATGTGAGGTCATAAGGAAAGACACACTCAGACATAAAATTATACCATACTCCACCTTTTTGTGTGTAGTAGTCCAGTATTCGTTGTGTTTCAGGACTGCAGCTGGTTTTATAGACAACCACTCTGTTCACTCCCAGTAACTGCAGCATCTCAAGACTCTGTACCAGCTACAATCCAACACATTTGAACAACAAGCTTCAGACAACTGTAAGTGTTAATATGCAAGCTAGGCAGAAAAGTCTTGTTTCTTTATTATTATAACTGTAAGGAATACTGGGAAAATGTACATTTTCTGGTTTTATTTCTTCCTGTCTTAGTCTGCATACTTTAGAGAAGCGGTCTCCAACCTTTTTAGTGCCACGGACCGGTTTATGCCCGAGAATATTTTCATGGACCGGCCTTTAAGGTGTCGCAGATAAATACAACAAAATAAAACTAGTACCGGTACCGAAAAAAATACAATTTATTCATAACACACGTGAAAAGACCGAGGAGAACCGAGTAAATGATCAAAACGATAACAAAATAACGCTGAAAACCGATAAAAACCCTGAAAACCATACATTTCACACCTGAGCCTCAACTCTCGCGGCCCGGTACCAAACGACTCACGGACCGGTACCGGTCCGATGCCCGGGGGTTGGGGACCGCTGCTTTAGAGAATGAGTTTCAAAAATCTATTTTTTCTGTCTTCTGAAAGCAAGAAAGCAAATGTCACTGTACCTGCAGCACGTTGGTAAAATCAAACATGGTGGAGATGCAGACGGTGAATTGGTAAGGAAAAGAATCTGTCTTCTCCTGCTGGTTCTGCACCTCTAAAAACTCTTGGTTGGGATCATCTTAAGAGACCACACAAACATACACTTTTACCATCTTATTTTTGTAACTGAACTCCAATTAGTAATACTTTTTGGGTTAAACAATCTTAAAGTCAACTGACATAATTTTTCAGGTATCACTAAAGTTACTGCCTGGACCTTTTTTGCTGACAGGCTCTGGGTAGAAATGGATATTTCCCAAAATATGTGGGACCCTGAACCCGGTGGTGGCATAGGAGGCAAAATTAGTAAATCACTAATGTCAACACAATGTAAACCTGAATGGTCATCAAATACCAATGAAATAGTTCACTTAGAATGTAGTAAAATATTTAAAAGTATTGCATTTAAAAGAATATTTCATTTTAAGTTTGTTACATAAAATGAACTAATTATTCACCTTATTATTTATTTACTTTTTACATCAATATTTTGATATTTAATTGATCTCATGCACACCATGAGTTGGTACCAGGTATAAATTTGATATCCATTCAATATTTGCTGAGATATTTCAACTTAAAGCAAACACCAAATTGACAAACAGACTGGCATTGCCATTAACATGCCCATAGCAACGTTAACATTCTGTACTGTACTGTTAGAGTTGGCATCAGTGGAGGTCACGGCAATCGAAGATGGTGTCTCACAGCCTGAGGGGAGGGGGCACATGATGTCTGCTGTCCCATAGGCAAAACCAAAGTGATCAGTGTGGATGTCGGCCACACCATTAGAGAGGAGCTGCTTCTCCTGGCAACGAAAGAGACAGCGATAGGCCACCTTCTCACTCCGCAGCACCACTGCAATGACACGAACCTGGAACAAGAAAAAGGCAGGAAGGAGCATGATGTTAATGGAAGGTTTAATATACGAGAAATTACAGGACAAGCATGATGATCACAAAATCAGCAGTTAAAGTCTACAGGAGTATCCTGAAATACTAAAGATTCAGTTTGGGTTCCATTATTAATTTCTTTTTACATGCTTTCTTTAGCTGGCATAATTCAGTCTTTTACGTGACATTTCTTATCATTTCTATGCCGATGACATTCAGCTGCATAGGTCCTTTAAGCCTCATCAGCTGGATAGGCTGTCCACCTTAGTCGAGCACTGTTGAAGATAAATGTTCTGAATGGCAGGAAGCCTCATGCCAGTGATGTGCTCTCACCACCCTCTGTAGTGATTTTAGGCTGCTGGCAGAGCAGCTTCCATACCAAACTGGAATTCAGCTCATCAGCAAGCTCTCGATCGCACACCTGTAGAAATTTGAGGTGATGTTGGCATTCATATCAAACTTCCTTAGCCTCCTCAGAAAGTAGAGTCACTGGCGAGCTTTCCTGATTGCAGTGTCTGTGTGAAGGGTCCAGGAGAAATTCTCAGTGATGTTGACTCCAAGGAATTTGAAGTTGCTGACCCTTTTGACCTTGACACCGTTAATGGGGATGGACTGGTGTTCCATGACTGGTTGTTTCCAGTAGTCCACTATGATTTCTCTTGTTTTGCTGATGTTGAGAGACAGATTATTTTTCAGGCACCACTTGTACAGTGCCATCAGCTCCTCTTTATAGACAGCTTCCTCGTTGTCTGTGATGAGGCCTATGATGGTTGTGTCATCTGCAAACTTGATGATGATGTTGGACTCATGTTTAGCGACGCAGTCGTGTGTGAACAGGGAATAGAGGAGGGGGCTAAGCACACATCCCTGTGGCGTTCCTGTGTTTAGGATGAGTGATTTGAGTGAAAGTGAGTGCTTGCCAACTCTCACCACCTGGGCCCTGTTTGTGAGGACGTTCAGAATCCATTTGCAGATAGGTGTTCCCAGCCCAAGGTCAACGAGCATCGAGGCAAGTTTTGAGGGGATGATGGTGTTAAATGTCGAGCTGTAGTCGACGAAGAGCATTCTTGAATATGTCTGTGAAGGTTCTCAGTCATCCAGGTCATCGTAGTCTAAGGAGCTTGGAAAGAAAAGCATCTGGACTTCTTTGAGTTGCTTGAAGACGTTTCACCTTCATCCGAGAAGCTTCTCCAGTTCTAAGGGTCAAATGGTGGAGAGTCCCAGATTTAAACCCAGTGGGAGTTTCCCCCCAAAGAGGGACAAAGGACCCCCTGATGATCCTTTATTTCTCTTTCTGAAACAGGAAATAAGTAGGCATCTTATTTCTTGGAAGATGGTGTCTTGATGCGCAAGCTTGGCCAGGATTGAAGGCTGATGTGGTTGAGTTTTGCCACACTTGTAAAACATGTCAGATTGCAGGAAAGCCAACCCAGACAGTTGCTATAGCTCCTCTTCATCCTATACAAGTACTCGGTGAACCTTTTGAACGTGTCATTGTGGACTGTGTTGGTCCATTGCCCAAGACAAACAATGGTAATCAGTTTTTACTGACTGCAATCTGTACTTCGACTCGTTTTCCAGAAGCTGTCCCACTCAGAAGAATCACTGCACCTTTGGTGATTAAAGTTTTGACAAAGTTCTTCACTACTTTTGGTCTACCTTGGAAAGGAAGTTGGGCAGGTCAAGGTTCGCCCTATCAGTGCAAAGGTAAATGCCATCCTCACCTTTCCTGTGCCAACAACACGGCGTGAGGTGCACAGATTTGTGGGGATGGTTGGTTACTACAGGTGTTTTTGTAGGAATATTTCCAAAGTTGTAACACCACTGACAAACCTGTGGAGCCCAAAGGTGCCATTCATTTGGAGTCCTGAGTGTCAACATGCTTTTGAATGTGCAAAAGGTCTCCTGTCGAGTTCACCTGTTCTTGTTGCTCCAGACTTTTCTGAACCATTCAAGCTTGAAGTGGATGCCAGTGTGCTGGAGCTGCTCTTCTTCAAGATGATGGACAAGGAGTGAGTCATCCTGTCTGCTTCTTTGGCAAGAAGTTCAATGCTCATCAAAGATGGTATTCAACAACTGAAAAGGAGACTGTCCTGATTGGATGCTGCTCACAGAATCCAGCTAATTGTCAATCAGCAGAGCATTACTTAAGGCTTGTGGAGCAATTCCTCTACCTGATGCTTAGTCTTGTCCACCCCAGCTGCAAAACTTGGAAACCAGTCTTATTCATTATCATCTATTGTCCACATGGGCCTTACACTGAGTTTCTGTCTGATTTCTCAGACTTCATCACAGTAGATGTCTTTCTGAAAGTGCTGTGACTAAATTTAAGAATATAATCCACCCACTGTTGTCATCAGTATGTAGGACTGCTTTTTTCCATTTGAGTAACATCTCTGAAATTAGAAATATCCTGTCTCAGAGTGACGCTGAAAAACTAGTTCATGCATTTATTACTTCTAGGCTGCACTAGTGTAATTCATTATTATCAGGATGTCTTAAAAACTCCCTAAAAAGCCTTCAGTTAATCCAAAATGCTGCAGCAAGAGT